CTACAGTTTCAAAGGCAAGAGATTTTTATCACTCTATTCTAAAGGCAAGACCGTCTTCACCTCCACAAATAAGGATAATTGAAGAGCCTATTATGGCAGGAGCCTCCTCATTGATGGTCATGGAACAAGCGGTGTTGCCTGTACAGAATCTTGAGATAAAAGACACGAGCTGCCCTTAAACGGAAAGAAAAAGAGCAGCAGCAGAAGAGCGGTGATAAAGTACAAGGAATGGTTACTACAGAGCCTGTGGGAGGGGCAAGACCTAAAAGATCTTCGACAGTTGATCTTCAGGCTATGCTTCAGAGGCTTCAGGTCGGTGGAGATGGCCAAGTTCCTGACCTGGAATGTTAATGGCTTAAACTCACCACAGAAACGGAGAAAGGTCTTCCACTATTTGAAACAACATAATAATGACTTGATACGTTTGCAAGAGACTCACATAATTTCAAAGGACTCAAAATATCTGACAAATTTTCGTCTAGGATCACATTTTATAGCTCCAGCTCCAGGGAAAAAAGGGGGTGTTGTAATTTATGTGAAGAAAAATTTATCGGCTAAATTAATTGAGGTTGATCCTGAAGGAAGATATGTCTTTGTGGAACTACTGTTACAAGGCAAGAAAGTTCTTATTGTTGGACTATATGCCCCTAATCAACAACAGAAGCAATTCTATAAGCTTTTGCATGGGAAGATATCCCAGTTGGATTATAAATCTGTAATTTTGATGGGTGACTGGAAAGGAGTTTTGGATATAACTATAGATAAAAAGAGTTCTTCTAAAAATTTCACTCAAACTAAATTACCTAAAACTTTTTTTGATTTGAAAGAAGAGTTGGAACTTATTGACATTTGGCGAGAAAGGAATACAAGTGATAGAGATTTTACCTTCTATTCGGACAGACATCAGTCATTTTCAAGGATTGACCTCTTTTTGATTACTAGTGATTTTCTTTCTAGGGTGAGGAAGGTAAAAATCTTTCCCAGGACTCTATCAGACCATAGTCCGGTGTGGATGGAGCTGTACTTGGAAGATGGGAACAGAAGACCCTGGAGACTGAATGAGAATTTGTTTACCCGGGAAGAGTTTGTACAAAAATGTAAAGAGTATTTAAAGGAATTTTTTGCTTTAAATATGAATAAGGGTACATCGATGCCCATGGTCTGGGACGCCAGTAGGGCATACATGAGGGGAATTTTAATTCATTTAAATAAAGTTTCTAGGGATAAAAGGATACAAAGACGTAGAGAAATAGAAGATGAGATTAAAATAAAAGAAGAAGCGCTTGCTCTTAATCCAACTGATAATAACTTAAAGGTTTCTATAAAGATGCTTAGGGAACAATTTAATATGTTGATGGCAGATCAGGTGGCTACCAATTTGTATTATATGAGACATAATACTTTTTGTAATGCTAATAAGCCTGGGAGGTGGTTGGCTTATCAGTTACGAAAGAAACAGAAGGCTAAGATTATAGAGAAAGTAAAATATAAAGGTACTGAGGTTTTTCAGCAAAATTTGATTAAAAAAAGTTTTTTAGATTTTTATACAAAACTATACTCAAGTGATAATATAAAGGGAATGGATATAGATAAATATTTACAATCAGTACATTTTCCTAAACTTTCTGAGGAACAGCAAAATGGGATGAATTGTTTAATTACTGTGGAGGAAATTGGTTTAGCTATCAAGCAGTTAAAGGTGGGAAAGTCTCCAGGAACAGATGGATTGACGTCGACGTATTATAAAAATTTAGCTGAAGAAATGTTGGAGCCATTAAAAGAGTTTTTTAATAATATTTTGTTGGGAGCACAAGTTCCTCCTTCTTGGAAAAGAGCATTTATATCACTGATTCCGAAGGAGGATCAAGATCTTACAAAGCCTAAGAATTACAGGCCAATATCATTATTAAATGTAGATTATAAGATTTTCACTAAAATTTTGGCAAACAGATTAATGCAGGTTATGAAGGATTTGATTCACAGTGATCAATCAGGATTTATAATAGGGTGATACATGAAATATAATGTCAGACAAATTATTAACTTAATTGAGTATTTGGACAAGAACAATCAGATTCCTGTGGCTTTAATATTTTTGGATGCTGAAAAGGCTTTTGATCAATTAGATTGGCAATTTTTATTTTCACTGGTAGAGAAAATGAATTTTGGGGATAAGTTCTTACATGCACTTAAAACTATATATCAGCAACAATCTGCTCAAATTGTTGTTAATGGGGGACTGACTGAGACTTTTAATATTGAAAAAGGGACAGGACAAGGATGTCCATTATCTCCATTGTTATTTGTTTTAACATTGGAGATTTTGTTGATCCAGATTCGAGAATCAACGGTAATCAAGGGCATAAAGATAAGAAAGAATGAGTATAAATTACAGGTTTTTGCGGATGATTTGGTTTTAATTTTGGAACAACCGATTTGAGCGGTTGATTGTCTATTAGAACTTATAACACAGTATGGGAAAGTTTCTGGTTTTAAAGTCAATAACCATAAGACTAAGATATTACCTAAGAATATGTCAGCTAATGATAAGGAAAGTTTGGTTAAAGCCACAGGTTTTCAGATGGTGAAAAAGGTTAAATATCTGGGAGTATATTTAACTGCTTCAAATGGAAAATTGTATAAAAATAATTATGAATTACTATGGGCAAAAGTACAAAAGGATTTAAATGTTTGGAAAAAACTGCAATTGTCACTGTTGGGGAGAATTTCAGCTGTAAAAATGAATGTTCTACCAAAGTTTCTTTTTTTGTTTCAGATGATACCTATTTTAAAAAAAGATGTAAATTTGGAGGAATGGCAGAAGGGTATCAATAAATTCATTTGGCTGGGAAAAAACCAAGGGTTAAGTTTAAGATTTTGCAAGATGCCCGAGAAAGAGGAGGACTTAAAGCACCTAATTTGAAATTATATTATGATGCAGCCGCCTTAACTTGGATAAGTGATTGGCTTAATTTAACAAATAAGGATATTCTTGCTCTTGAAGGGTGGGATTTAATGTACGGTTGGCATGCATATTTAATTTTTAATAAGAAAGTGGACCGGGCTTTCAAATCACACATTTTGAGGAGTGCCTTACTTCAAGTTTGGAAAAAGTATTATTATAGGTTAAATTATAAAATACCTATCTGGGGGATTCCTAGACATGCAATCGAGGGGATTTCTAAGGGGATGAACTTTGATAAAATTTCGTATAAAGAATTATTAATTTGGTCAGGTTCGGATTGGCATTTAAAATCCCTAGATGTATTAAGGCAAGAAAATATTCTACAGTCATGGTTTCAATATTTACAAATAGTGGACAGGTGGACTGTAGATAAGAAAGAAGGAATAACATTAGAAGATGGAAATCTGGTTATTCAGATTAAAGATCAGAGTCAGGCCCATATAAAAAGAATTTACAATGCTTTAATAGAATTAGACTCAGAAACAGAATTGGTCAAAGACTGTATGATTAAATGGGCTCAGAATATCCAGGAACCGATCCCATTGGACTTATGGGAGATAATTTGGATCAGAAACGTTAAATTTACACAAGCTCAAAATTTGAGGGAAAATTTTTATAAAATGTTTTATAGATGGCATCTAGATCCTAAAAAATTATCTTGTATGTATCCAAATTTACAACCCAAATGTTGGAGATGTGGTAATATGGATGCGACATATTTTCATATTTGGTGGAATTGTAAAAAGGTAAAGGCTTTCTGGATTATGATTTGGTGGAACATTCAAAAGATTTTTAAAAGGAAGATAAAGTTTACCCCTCAATTATTCCTATTGGGTATTTTTGTGGATTTAAATGACAAAGAAACTACTTTAATGTTGAATTTATTAACTGCAGCAAGGTTACTAGTAGGCTCATATTGGAAGAAAGATTCGCTGCCTACTTTAGAAGAATGGCTATTTAAAGTTTCTAACTTTGCAGAAATGGCAAAAATTTCTGCTTATATGAAGGATCATAAACAAGAAAGATATATTATTGTATGGAGAAGATGGATAGATTATATTCAGAAAAAGTATGGGATTATAACGTTTCACCTACTTTATGAGTAAATTTTATAGCAACTGTTGTAGAGATTTGTTTATATGACTTAATTTAAGGGGAGTTAAAGGTTAAGTATGATGTTTTTTTTCTTTCCTTTTTTTTTCTTTTTTCTTTCCCCTTTTTTATTATTGTTAACTTTCTTATTAATAACCCTGTACTCTGCGCTGGGAAGTGAGGGGGGAGGGTTGAGGGTGGGTGAGTGGGTGGGTAATGATAATATAGTTATGGTAGTTTATAGAGAGGTGCTGCTTGGGCATTTCCCCTATGCTGTGTTCATGTATTTGAGAGGGATGAGAGAGGAGGAAGGTGTAGGGAGGAAGTAGGATGGTAAGAGGAGAAGGGGAGGGGAGAGTAGGAGGGGAGGAGAGAAAGAGGAGGGAAGTAGGGAATGTATTAGAGAGGGTGGACGCGGCCTGGGGGAATGGGCAGGTGGTACCAATGGTCAGGAATTTATTTTATTTTGTGAATTAAATTGTATTTTATATTAATAAATGGAAAATATTTTTTTTATTAAAATAAAAAAAAGTTTTCTTTCTACTAAGTGTGACCACATCCAGCATTCTAGTTGGCTGGATTCCATAGCAAAAGAATTCACTTTCCTACTTTATTAACCATTGAGTCTGTAACCAGATGTAACCGTATCCGCAGTTACTCAGCATTCTTGAAAAGTGAACATAAGCCTCCAATTGTATGTCATTTAATTACAGTATATCCACTGATTTGCTTGCTCATTCAACAATTTAGGCCAGTTTAATTTTTTAGCTTTCAAATGGAAGACTATGATACCAATACAGTTGTGACTTCAGCATAGATGGAAAACCTAGATGCAAATTCAATCTAATTCTCAAATAATTTGGCAGCTGCAATTCTTATCCTATTGGATGAATTCTGTATTTTCTTCCAGGTGTACACTAGTCAAAAAAACATGATGGCTTACTCAAGCATTTTGGTGGATGAGGTGTCCATTTTTGTCCCTTACACTGAATCCATTCATGTCCTTCCAAGACATAGGCAGGGTTGCACCTGTATTGCACTCTGTCATTTTCCAGATATTTGACTTTCTCAGTGGTTACAATTTCTCCAAAGTCAATGTCCTCTGGTTCTTCACATGCTGAAATTATATTTACATAAAATTATCTTATTTGCTTGGACAAGCTCACTTTTTCTACCAGTATTTACTCTCATGAACTTCTCATGAACTGTGAGATAACAAACTTCCCGTTCTAATCCAAGTTAGATAATTATTTCCCACTTTTGTCTTAACTAGAAAACCAATGCCTGCTGGGCACTTACTCCTAACTATAAGAGTAAATCCTCAATTTAGTGATCATTTGAAATTCCAAGGAACTTACTTGTGGAGTGCTTATGACCCAGATTCAAAATTCCAACAGTCACCCCTGCTTCAGTCACATGAGTGCACTTCAGTGCTAGGCAACTGGGTTGCATTTACAGCCATTTGCAGCACCCCATGTTCAAATGACCCTGTTTTATGGTGGTTTTGCAAAAAAACAGCATTTACTTCTGGTTTACAGCAAAACTGCACCAACAGTGACCCACTGGAACACTTAACAAATATGTATTTTCACTTGACTATGACAATTCATTTAATGGCCACCAAAAATGTTAATAAAATCTGATCAGTCTCATAAATGATCCACTTTATGATAATAACATGTTGCAACTGTGATGGGAAGTCTCCATTAAGTCCTAACTCAACCTCCCCTTGCTGATGCCTAACCTAAGCAACTCTGAGGATGGGCAGATAGAGGGAGGTTGAAAGGCTATCAAACTTGCCTCCCTAAAGTAACCTCTTTTTAAGTGATTCTGTGGAATTTTGTCCAATACTTACCATGCTTACCACGGGTAGTCCTGAGTGAATCTTTCTGACAGTGTACGTATTAGATCAGGGGTCTTCAAAATTGAACCTTTTATGACTCATGGACTTCAACTGGCTGAGGAATTCTGGGAATTGAAATCCATGAGTCATAAAAGGGCCGAGTTTGAAGACCCTTGTATTAGATTTTCAACAATAAAGCTTTGTTAATTGTAATCACCCTGTCATCTTTCAGGTATATATCAGCAATATCTGACTCAAAATGTTAAAATTGCCAACAGTTCATTGCTTACTAGTACTGCCTTCATATTTATTTCTCAGTATCTATAACTTTCTTTCTTTTTATCAGATCTAAATGGTGCCAGCTGAGAATTATTCTGTATGCTTTAACTCTCTAATCTTGTTCTTTACTTGTTCTCCTTATTTTTATAGATACAGAACATAATAGAATACAATTGTGAGGTATTAAGACACACACACACACACACAGAGAGAGAGAGAGAGAGAGAGAGATTATTCTGTGCAGAGAGTGCAAATATTCATTCAAAACAGCAATGGTAGGCAGAAGCAGGGAAATAAAATAATTGTAAAATAATTATATCTAACCCTTCAGCTGTCAAATTTGAAAGTAAGAGCTTGAAATGGGGTGGCAATCATTACTTATTGTACCAATGGTTTATCAGTTAATTTTACAATTATTGGGAAAGAAATACCTTCCATATCTCTGTTGACTGAGCCAAGGCAACTGGCAGGCAATCATAAAAAAAAACATTGATAAATGATTGGCTCAAAGGTTTGATTAGTATGAATGTAAACAAATGTAGTCTAAGCTTCAATGTCTTGAGATATGAATATTTTCTACTTTTTCTTCTCCTAAAGGATATTATCACTGTGAATTAAGATATATACTAATTGCTTTTTTATTTATCCCAATGTACATATAACTGAGATATATCTCTAAAATTTCAAACTTATGACTTATGAAGACTCATCTCCTTGGCACAGAAAGTTACAGAAACTATAGATATGGTTCCTACATGATCAATGTTCTTATCCAGATATTATGTGCTTTAGTGGCAGCCCAAGGCATAACAGAAGCTGTCATAAAGTCACCTCATCTGGGAGGAACAAGAGAGAAAAAATTGGGGGAAAGTATAGATTCTTACAGTACTGATAGCATGTTCTTGGTTAAATTATGGTAGAAATATATTTCATTTTTGCACCTGCTCATTTCAACTTTTCAGGACCTTTTTTGTTTTTAACCAAATAAACCATTAAACACAAATGCTTCAATGAAATCAAAGAGTAAGCTTTTACTTCAGTTTTATAGTAGCATTATTAGAAATATACTAGACATTTGGTTATTATCATATCAGGTTCTTTATTAACTTTATTAATGTTATTAACACATCAAAACTGGTGTTAATTTACAATACTGATGCAAATTATCTTGCTATACACAAATCAGTTGCTCAAAAATCTTGCATTTGAGAAGACTATTGGAATTATAAGTCTATGATATTCTTAAAGAATCTGCCATTACAAATTTCCAGAAAGCTACAAATGAACATTTGAACTCTTTGCTTTTTCTAAAAGTAACTTTAGTGATTGCAACAGAAGCTGTTTTCTTTAGTAATTCCTTGATTTTTTTTTCTTAACTTACCATTTTGAGAAGAGCAACATGGCCAGAGAAGAACAGCAGCAACCAGGAGCAGCCCGCACTTCATAGTTGTTCAGGCAATGTCTGAGCCACCAAACCTCACTTCAGCAGTTTGGCAATCTCAGCAGATTTCTCCTAGCTACTACCATCTCTTTCTCATTTTATGTTTGTTTGTTGTCAAGGAAACTAGGACGAGGAAGTATTATGGGAATAAAAATATAATCAGCTAAGTGAGGACTCCACGAGAATTTTCCAACTTTGTGTTGCAATGATTAAGGCAAACAAAACAAGCAATAGTTCAGCTTTTCAGGCAGTGCTTCCAACTCTTCAGAAGGAAAAAAAAACACCTCTTGCATTCAAAAGTTGATAAATTCTGAGTCTTCTCAACGTCTTCAGTAGTAGCAGCTAACTGCAAAATTATTATACATGACATTTATGAAAAATTACTGGTAGTGCAAACAGTTTCCTCATTCTTCAAGGTCTTAACACTGTATTTTTATTGTAAAACAGCCAGAGTCAATCAGGTGTGATGGGCAGTGTGGTAATTTGATAATTAAAAAATTACATTTTATATCTGACGTATCTATTTTATATTTTGCATATCAGTAGGAATAGGAACCACATGCTACAGATATCCAATATCTTAAATAATATCTGGAGTTTTACAATCTTCAGCCAAATATAGTTAATAATTACCAATCACATAAGGGAGACTGTACACTTTGGTCCCTGTTTGTTTTTTCCCCAAGATTCAGTAGAACTAGGATTCGGTTTGACTTTTACAAATATCCAGAAGGTCAACATAGTATCAATTCTTAGGGGATAGAAAAACAGAGAAAATAAGAAAGATATTGCCTCCATATCAGAAATATACAAGTTCTACTTTTCTCTTTGTACCTCATTATTTTACAACTATGTATAAGAAGTGTATAAGTAGTATTTGCTGCCAATTCTATCTATTATTTCTGAAGACAGCAATATGAACAGTATATTATCTATTAAATAGAGTTTGAATTGATCAACAAGATCTCATCATCTTTTTCTTTAGTGTAAACAGCGTTTCTCCCTCCCAGTACTTTTAGAGACAGAGGACTAGAGCCATTACCAAGGCAGCACTCAGATAAGAGGAGCCTGGGACCAGGCCCAGAAAGTAACTTGAGAAAAGTGTCTATGGAGATTCTCAGTCATCCAGGTCATGGTTGTCCCAAAGATGCTTTTCCAGAGGGCAATTGAATTTTCTTGTGTTTTTTTCCCTTGAAAACATTTTGTTTCTCAACCAAGAAGCTTCTTTAGTTTTAACTGAATGATTGAAGGATTTATATCCTTTGCAGTCATCTGTCATTAGTACTCTGAGGGCTGGTCGTTAGCTCTCTTGCTCAACCTGTGGGTCACGACCCTTTGGGGGTCAAACAACCCTTTCACAGGAGTCACCTAAGACCATCAGAAAACACATATTTCTGATGGTCTTAGGAATCGAGACACCGCTCGGCATCCATCTCTGCATGGCCTTCTCTTCCATTTGCAGAGAGAGAGAGAGACAGAGAGGCACTTTCGCTTCCCTTCTCTCTCTCTCTCAGGCAGACTTACCTCCTGCAGGGCTCCTGATTGGCCCTGCGCCCGGGTGCCCCACCCCCTGGGAGAAGCGCGGCCAGGGCCTCGTGGCCTTGGAGCCCCCCGGGCAAGAGAGAAAAAGAGAGAAAGAGGAATGGCACTTCTCCAACCAGGCTGGGTGGAGCCGGCAAAATGGCCTTCCTGCACCCCCTCCCCAGCCAACTGGATGGGGGGTTGGGGGTCACCACAACATGAGGAACTGTATTAAAGGGTCGTGGCATTAGGAAAGTTGAGAACCACTGTTGTAGAGCATCTCTACTTTCTGCAGCTTTGATATCTACATTACGCTGAATATGCATGTTCATGGCTCAGTATGGGGAAGAGGTTAGCTGTAGACCAGTTTGTAGATTGACTGAAGAGATTCTATGATTAAGTCTGGCAGTTGTCTGTCAGACAGGTAAAAAGGAGGTCCAGGCATATTTGGATAGAACAGTGATAACTGTTGATATAAACATTTTTCCATGGTTTTCCTTACAAAATTTGGAGACATCTATGGGATCATTTTGAACTGATGAACTAAACCAGTCATCACTGTTTTATTTGTAGGAAAAATAATTCTTGCAGGCTTGTGAAGGATATAGGAATCTTATCCTGACAGTGAGAACAATTAATCAGTGGAACCGCCTGCCTCCAGAAGCAGTAAATGCTCCAACATTGGAAGTTTTTAAGAAGAGACTGGACAGCCATTTGTCCGAAATGGTGTAGGGTTTCCTGTCTGAGCAGGGGGTTGGATTAGATGACCTCCAAGGTCCCTTCCAACTTTACTATTATTATTATTATCGATCATCGCACAGTCAGCCAGATGTTCAGACTGGATATGGCATTTTGTCTACCTATCGAGTCCTTACTCAGGACCTGGGATAGGCAGATGTGGATGTTTGATGGTATTACAGATATCGTCGCAGGATGGAAGCAGTTCCTAATAAGGCCGCCTTTTGCAATTGACTAATAGCAAATTTGTCAATGCCAATGGTGTTCAAGTGGTTCTCCAGTTGTTTTGGGATTGCGCCCAAGGAGCCTATGACTATTGGTACTACCCTTGCTTGCTTTTGCCACAGTCTTTCTATTTCTATTTGTAGGTCTTTGTATTTTGTTATCTCTCCAGTTCTTTCTCGTCTATTCTGCTGTCTCCAGGCACTGCCACATCCACTATCCAGACTTTTTTGTCTTTCTTATCGACAATTGTTAAGTCTGGAGTGTTATGTTGCAGGTGCTTGTCTGTTTGAATTCTGAAGTCCCAGAGCAGTTTAATTTTATCATTTTTATGACTTTCTCTATTTTATGATCCCACCAGTTTTTGCTTACAGGCAAATGATATTTTTTGCAGATCTTCCAATGCACCATTGTTGCTACTTTGTCATGCCGCTGCTTGTGATTACAAGTTTGTGCAATCTTCTTGCAACAGCTTACCAAGTGGTCCACTGTTTCTTCAGCTTCTTTGCATAGGCGGCACTTACTGTCTGTTGCTGTCTTCTCAATTTTGACTTTGTATGCATTTGTCCTTAAGGCTTGGTCTTGTGCATCCAGAATTAGTCCCTCGGTCTCTTTCTTCAATTTTCCTGCTCTTAGCCATTGCCAGGTTTTATTATTATCTGCTTTCCCAGCTATTTTTTTCATGTATTGGCCATGTAGTGCTTTGTCTTCCCATGCCTCTATTCTGTTCTTCATTTGGTCTTTCTTGTAGGCCAGTTTGATCTCTCCAGTAGTTAGTAAGCCTTCCTGATATACTAATTTCAATGCATCTTCATCATTGTTCTTCAGATATTCTTCCAAAGCCATTTTTTCTTCTTCAACCATCTGATGTACTTGTAGCATTCCACGCCCACCTATTTGCATTGGTAGATAAAGTCTATCAATGTCACTGCGTGGATGAAGGGCGTGATTCATTGTCATTATTTTTCTGGTCTGCCTATCCATTGCTTTTAGTTCTGCTTGAGTCCAGTCCACTATTCCAGCTGTGTACCTAATGATTGGGATTGCCCAGGTGTTGATTGCCTTTATGGTATTTCCTCCATTGAGTTTGGATTTTAAGATCTTCTTCACTCTCTTGATGTATTCACCTCTAATCTTTTTCTTGACTTCAGTGTGCTTGATGTTGTCAGCTTGAAGGATACCCAAGTATTTGTAGTACTTTTCCTCATCAAGACTCTTAATGCTATTTTCGTGGGGCATCTTGATTCCTTCAGTTTTCATTATTTTTCCTTGTTTGATAGTAAGTGTGGCACATTTGTCCAAGCCAAACTCCATTACAATATCTTGGCCATATATATGGACAGTGTTGAGCAGCGATTCTATTTCAGATGATGTTTTTCCATACAGCTTCAGATCATCCATATACAGGAGGTGGGATAGTCTGGCAGATGTTTTTGATGTTTGATAGCCATGTCCTGAGTTATTCAGTATTGTTGACAGAGGAAACAGTGCAATAACAAATAGTAATGGTGATAATGAATCTCCTTGAAATATTCCTCTCTTGATATTAACCTCTCCCAGCCTCTCACCATTGATCTGCAACTGTGTCTTCCATTGTGCCATCGATCTTTGCACAAATTTTCTGATGTTTCTACTGACTCCTGTTATTTCTAGGCACTTTATTATCCAATCATGTGGCAGAGAGTCAAATGCCTTTTTGTAGTCAATCCATGCCACATTCAGGTTGGTCTTCCTTCTCTTGCAGTTTTCCAAGATCATTTTGTCTATTAGGAGTTGATCTTTGTTCCTCTGCTATTGGGGCGGTTTCCTTTCTGCTCAGGTGGAAAGAGATTGTTTTCAACTAAATGCTGTTGCACTGCATCAGCTACTACACCAGTTAGTAATTTGAAAGGTTTTTTTTATTATTATTATTATCCTGAAAGCCATGTCGCAGACAGGTTTTTAATCTTTTCTTTCCCTCCTGAAAAGGGGAATCCACACCACCATGACTTCCCTCACAGAAAAGTTCCTTTAGAATATTAAATATAAAAATACAGAATATAGAATATTAAAGCATAGAATATTTTCATCTTTTATTCAACCCAAACAATACTGAAAAATAATTGCATATGTCTCTCAGCACTTGATTTTATTGGTAATTCAGAGTTCAGAGGGCATAACTAGAACATCAGAAAAATACCCCTGTATTCTAGATCAGATTCTAGATTTGCAACTGCCATGATTTCCACTGCCATATAAAAATGGGGTGCTTTTAACTGCCGGCTGCCCATGTGATATTAACTTAGAGGCTGCAAAATATAAAGTATAACCTATTATTATTGTATCTCTATGTCTTCTGTTTTCCACTGTTCCTAATCAGTAACTTACAACACAGCTTGCAATATGAATGCAAAATGGGTCTGAAGTAACCATTTTCTTCATCAAAACCTCCAAAATAGGTTTTCTTGCATTCTATCAAAAGATGTCTTGAGCTGCTCCACATGTTGGTGGTGTCTAATGGTGTAGAAACTCTTCTTTGGAATCTGAGGTTGCCATATTATTTTTCAAAACTAGGTTGAAGTTTTTAAACTGCAGAACTTCATAGCCACCTGTTAACAGTTCCTGCAGAATCATGGCTGTACCAAGTCTGAACATATCCTCTGGCCATGCGTAAAACCACATGGACACCCACTCTGCAGCCCCTGAGTTCACTTTGCACAGATCATCTTCAGTAGATTAGTCTGGATTTATATCGTGGCAAATTATAGCCCATTTTATGTCAAATAACATTTTTGTAGTAATGCAGTTGGAAATCCTGCCATATTTTTTTAAGATTTATCTTAATATTTGATTATTTATTATAATTAACAATGTGTCTCTCCAATGAGGGTGTTCCATACTGGAGGTCATTAGATGATTAAGAGAAGACTGTGCCTTCCCCCCATTGTCTCTTGGTCCCTTCCTTGCCTATCTTTGCTAATTTTAATGTTAATATTTATTGTTTTAATCTTTTATATTGTCATTTGTATTTTGCTGTAAACCTCCTACAGTCACTTGCTGGTGACATGGGCAGCGTATACATATTTATTTATTTATTTATTTATTTATTTATTTATTTATTTATGAGACTTATATACCGCTTTAAGTGCAAGCACTCTCATATTGATACAATTTCATATTGTTGAAAAGAAAAAAAATAAAAACAAAACATAGAAGAAAACCAAACCTTGTATCTGTTTGTGATTTTCCCATGTTAGATTTTAGAATAGGCAGAAATTCATTTGGCTGAACCTTGCTCTGATTCTGAACATCAAGTCTGATTATGCCAACTCCAAAGCAACACAAGAAGGAACCACTGTTTGTGGATCTTGGATTGGATAGTGAATTGCGATGTGTATGGTATATCTCTGTTTCTTTACAAAATATATTACAAATTGCTTAACAATAACAATCAGTTTTAGATTTTTTTATTTTTTTGAAGAATTTAACACTATATGCTAAAAATCTCAATTACTATTATCTATTGTCATTGCTTTAAGATGGATTGCTGACTGATCATTCAGATTAATCAAATGTTTACAGCTAAAATGTATCTAGCAAAAAGGAAATTTCCTCACTTTCAATGTATTTTTAAACAGTTATTTACAATGTTCCATTATAATATTTTATCTGCTTTAAAGATGGTCTGTAAAGTTGTTTATAAGTGTTCTCATTTTCTCCATAAAGTTGGTAAAATTTGGCATTTCCAAAATAGACTTTTAGGTTGAGATCCAAAGTTTATAGTTGTAGACAATCCAGTTTCACGTTGTCATATTAAAGGGAAGGATATATGATTTCTAACATCCATCATCTGGTTGAAGTAGGGTGCTATATATAACTTGTCATTCATTTATTTAGAGCTGTAAAATATAATGTGAACAATGGATAAATATATTTGCATCTGTACAATTTGTGTTTTTTTTCCAAACTGATATTTCTTGATCTGCTAAAGAATGAAATCTTTGATAATTTTTAAGACCTTAAACTGATTCCATGGATGGGCAAGGAGACTCTGAAATATCAGCATCTCAGTTTGTTAAACTAAAATGGCTAAAATTATTCAAATGATTGAAAAGACCATTCTATCACTGAGCAATTTCATTTCTTAAAAATTACCTTTGAAAATATTAACATGTAACAAACTTTTAGAATGTTTAGTGGTTGTTCTTTATATTTTAGGATATAAATTCTTGTATTCAGAATGAACCCAAAGTGAATATTTTAAAAATAGGAGTGGGGAATTAGATGTTACCAAACTCTAAATTCATCCTCAAAGGGAATAGCCCACTGAGGTTAAATTAGAATTTCCACTTATTTCATCCCCAGCACAGAGGAATCTCCTGGTCGTCATCTTGGAATCTGCCAAGATTCAGCAAAAAGACCAGAAGAGAGAAAATGCTGGCAGATTTATTTTCCCCTCACTATCCCAGTCCTCTTTATTTTTAAGCATCACCCCCATCCCCATGGTACTTCTCTCCCATTGTTCTGACTAGAAGAAATTTTATTTAGCTCACAGGAATCTTAAGAAGTGTTCTGATTTAGAAAAATTGCAGAAGACCAAGTTACCTCAGAATCCATTACATTCACAACTTTGGTCTTTTAAATATTTTAAGTGCTTTTGTCAATCCATAGATATAAATATATAGGTATATAGATATATATAGAGAAAAGAATTATTAATATTGGTGAATTAAATTAAATTTAAATTAAGAATTAAATTCTTAGTGAATAGCAAGATGCTATGTGAATGTGGAGAGAAACAAAGCTCAGCCCATCTGCTGGTATGTCAGCAACTATCAGAAACATGTATTGATAATGACTTATTTTTGGCCAACAACAAAGCCAAGAAGGTGGCTTCATTCTCGCAGTTTAAAGTTTGATGTAGACATGGAAGAAGAAGAACCTTACTGATAGTATCCCATCCCATGATGGCCGATGACATCATCCAGAGGATTCATGTAGATGCCAAAAACAAGTAGAGAGAGTATTGAGCCCCATGGCACACCATAAAGGAGCAGCTGTGGGCTAGGCCTCTTACTCCTTGCCCACACTGATTGAGAGTGGTTTTGGAGAAAGAAGCCAAACCAGCATAAGACTGTGGCACCAGGCCCCAAATCCCACAACTTTCCAAAAACAAAATCATAGTTAATGGTACTGAAGGCAGTTGAGAAATCAAGGAGGGAAAGGATAGATGCACTGTCCCTATCTCGCTGTTGCCAGAGACCTAAAAGTGCAACCAATGCTGTTTCTGTCCAATAAAACACTGACTGGAAAGAGTTCTGATAATTCATTTCATCCTCTATGCTCAGGAGCTGCCACCCCGCCACTTTTTCTATCACCATTCCTAAGAAGGGAAAGTGAGAAACTAGACAAAATTTGTCAAGGCAGGTAGCATCCAATGATAGTTTCTTAAGGAGGGGGCAGTTCATGGCCTCCTTAAATGATCCCAAGAATGTCCCCTTCTGCAATGTTGCATTCATCACTATCTGGACCAATCTGGAGGTCACCATCATGGAGGTTTTCATCAGCCAAGAGGGACATAGATTTAATATGGAGGCAATTGCACTGACAGCATTGGGGGACCTTGTCCACTTTCCTACATACAACAGGATCAAACTATTCCCAGATAACTCCTGGACATCTCTAATGGACCTGCTCCATGTCTGGTCTCCAACTCAGAATGGATAGAAGCACCTTTATCCATCACAATTGGACAATTTCATCCACATGGCCCTGAGGATGATGATCCAAGTCCTCCTTCCCTAGGATGTACTCAATGGTCTTAAGCATAGCCAGTGGGTGACACTCAGCAGATGTAATAAAAGGAGAGAATTTGTGCTGTTTCACCATTCTTACCATCACAAACCAACCATAATATTGACTTTGATTTGTGTCCTATCATTTAATAGGACACTATTACAATGCTTAACTCCAGTAATGCTCGAGACATCTCTTGACCTTTTTCAACACATTCAATTCCTCCATAAATCATGGAGAGTGTTGGAAGTGATGGCTTAGGAGTGGCCACATGGATGCAATCCTATCCAAAGCCTTAGCCATCCTCTGATTCCAGGTCAAAACCACCCAACTGGCTTTTATGGCTTAAGGTGGGGCTTGAACTCAGTCTCCTGCTTTCTAGGCTGGTGTTTTAACCACAAACCAACTGGCTTTGGGGTGGGTGGGAAGCAAGACCAGATGGACTATGCCCCACGGTTCTCAAGGAACTGGCAGATATGAGTTCAGAACCACTGAACTATATCTTTCAAAGATCCAGAGGACTGGAAAAGAGCTGATGTAGTTCCAATCTTCAAAAAAGGAAAAAAATGGATCCAAGAAATTACAGACCTATCAGCCTGAACTCAATACCTGGGAAGATTCTGGAAAAGATAATCAAGCAACGAATCAGTGAATATGTAGAGACAAATAAAGTCATTACCAAAAGCCAGCATTTGTCAAAAACAAATCATGCCAGACAAATCTTATTGCATTCTTTGACCATGTGACAAAATTAGTGGACCAGAGGGAGGCTGTGGATATAATATACATGGACTTCAGTAAGGCATTTGATAAAGTAAATCACAACCTACTACTTGATAAGATAGAAAAATATGGGTTAGACAGCATCACCACCAGATGAATTCATAGCTGGCTGACCGGCTGTACTCAGCATGTGGTCCTCAATGGAACTGCATCTACATGGAGGGAATTGTGTAGTGGGGTGCCCCAGGTTTCTGATCTGGGCCCAGTGCTCTTTAACATCTTCATCAACGATTTGGACGAGGGGATAGATGGGAAACTCATCAAATTTGCAGACAACCCCAAACTGACAGGAATAGCTAACACTCCAGAAGACAGGCTTAAGATACAGAAGGATCTTGACAGAGTTGAACATTGGGCGCTATCTAACAAAATGTAATTCAATGGTGAAAAAAGTAATGTTCTACATTTAGGCAAGAAAAACCAAATGCACAGGTATAGTATAGGTGGTACTTTGCTCAATAGTAGCAACTGTAAGAGGGATCTCAGAGTCCTAGTGGACAGTCACTTAAATATGAGCCAGCAGTGTGCTGCAGCTGCCAAAAAAGCCAACACAGTACTATGCTGCATTAACAGAGGATAGAATCAAGATCACGTGAAGTGTTAATACCACTTTACAATGCCTTGGTAAGGCCACACTTAGAATACTTCATCCAGTTTTGGTCACCATGATATAAAAAAGATGTTGAGACTCTAGAAAGAGTATAGAGAAGGCAACAAAGATAATCAGGGACTGGAGATTGAGTATGTCTAGTTTAAAAAAGAGAAGGACGAGGGGGGACATGATAGCAGTGTTCCAGTATCTCAGGGACTGCCACAAAGAAGTGGAAGTCAAGCTATTCTCCAAAGCACCTGAAGGCAGGACAAGAAGCAATAGATGGAAACTAACCAAAGAGAGAAGCAACCTAGAACTAAGAAGAAATTTTCTGACAGTTAGAACAATTAATCAGTGGAACAACCTGGCTCCAGAAGCTGTGAATGCCATTTGTCCGAAATGGTATAGGCTTTCCTGCCTGAGCAGGGGGGTGGATTATATGACCTCCAAGGTCCCTTCCAACATTATTATTATTATTATTATTATTACTATTATTATACAGAATATCAAGAACAACAGGGCATGATCTGATCATAACAGTCGGGTCCCTCACCCCATCATTTCTCCAGGAAAATCATGTGGCATCTGTTACGAGTTGGGCCATAGATGATCTTGGATAGGAATATGGTTGCCATGGTGGCCATGAACTTTAAGCCACTTCTGAGGGAACCCCCGGGTTGAAGTCTTCCAGGACTATAAGCCTGGGGAATCCCACAACGAACCCTGAAGTGGCTTCAGGCAAATATTTGACTTGCTCCTCCCCAAAAAGGTCACTTAAGGAAAGTTTTGTTATTAACTGGCCTGATGTTTACCAGAAGCTTTGAAGTATTGTGCTTACTTTTTCATCCATTAGTTATGTTTTACCATCTTTTCTGGATGGTAAAAAGGCCTTTAGGAAAGATAATCTTTGAAGCTGATTTATTGAAATAGTGGCACTTCTTTTGCAGGTTCTCCTTGAAAAAAATTAGGCTTCTTCATTGAACAACAGAGAATTGGTGTGGTTGTGTGATGCCCAAATAACCTTTCTGAATTCTTTAATTTTGAAGAAGAAAGTCTTTGAAGTCAGAACCTTGCTTTGAAAACAAGAGTTCTGAAAGTATGCAGGACATTTCAATTGAGTTTAATGTTTGAGGCCATATGTGAGACATTTTTGAGGTGTATGGCTTCTCAATATTTATATAAAATCCCCAACTTCCTTGTTTATGCATCTTCCTTGCATAATTTCTAACATCAGCATGAGCTTGAAAAAAATGCATGGATAACTTTTTCTTTCTTTTTTTTTTTATAAATATTTTATTGGTTTTTAACTATAACAATCTCCAGTGCCTGATGTACAGCATGTTATCTTGGTTTATATTTTAACAAGAAAAAGAAGATGATAATAGTCAATTAACAATCAATAATTATTAAGTTTGATAATTCCATAATTAGTATATTAATTAATGATATATTTCTTTGATCTTCCCTTCTCCCATTTATATTCTCTTTCTTCAACTTTAAACAAAATATAATTCTTAATATTTTCAATATATAAATGATTAGATACAGGCATTTTTTGTATTTATACAAATAATAATCTCTATGTATGGCATTTTTTCAGCTTATATTATTCTTATAACCATCATCTCATTAGTTCACCATGCATCCTATTTTTGTAATTTTTGTTTAATTTCCCTTATATTCAATCCACTTCTTATCATTCATAATTTCTCCATATGATAGTCATCT